GGTTACACGACCGATTACGGACCCCATGCTTGTTCGGAGTCCGGTGATAAATAGACGAACACAGTAGTCGATTGGAATGCTTCCTAATTTTGAACGATTTATTGTACCTGTAGTAGTGAGCCTGAGACTTCGACTGAAGTCTTTTGACACTATCACTATTTTGAAGTCCGGTATACCGGATAGTACTCAAGAAAGGAGTTAGTCATCTCCGCCATGAGTTCAATTTTAATCTATCCGACTAACACAGGAGCGTACCTGCGATTCACTGTACCGATCGAATCAGCTTGTAGTGCTTTTTTTAAATTTTCTTGGCATCCTGCATATGAACGCGAGAATCCATGGTGGTCCGATTCATTCAGGCTTGCATTTCCCTGATACGATCGTCCGTTCCTGTGTGGTCATCCACAGCAGCGTGAAACGAAGCCAGTCTGATCTTTTGGAGGGAATTCAATAGACCTATCTGGCTCCATCGAGGAATAACGTGTATTGGTTTCGGTGGCTGTCTTTTGGCTGCATAGAGTAAAATGAAAAAAATAACAATCCCTGGTAACAGTAAGAAGGCGAAGTCAGGTAGACCAAATGTGCAGGAAAAATTGAGTAGAATCACTCAATTTGTCTCAAGTCAGCAGACAGTTGATCCAAGGGTGCAAACCGGGAGGCGTAACGTGGCGTATATGACCGAGTTACTTGGTAATGACGTTCATACCGTCATTAGTTTCATTATCCTGGACTTTTCTCATCCACTACCTGGCTCGGCGAAATGTACACGTCGAGGAAGCCTATCCGGTGAAATGCGTAATACACACCACAGCCATTGTGATCTATGGGGTTTGAGCATTCGCTGCCTGCGCGGCCGCAATTGTTCAACGCGTGTATCAAACGGCGTGGATAGCCGTATTCGAGCACCACTAGCCTATTTTCTCCCGTTTACGACAATGTTTGTTCACCACACAGAAGGATTGATCAAACAGCTACAGTATAAACTCAATCATTTATGATAGACTGTATATCCCGGTTGCAGCCTAGATTTCCCAAGTTGGCTATACGAGATGCCACTTCATGAATAACAAATATTTCATAGAGGCAGATTTCAAATTGATACGAATGTTATTGGAAAAACAGCTTATGTTGTGTTCCTAATACCATGGATCTGTAGAGGAATACTTCAATTATATAGTTATGGCGAGAAAGATTTTGTGCTTATGATCTTTCGACCCTTTTAAAAGGCCTTTTCTGTTAAACTACCATGAGAAAATTAAACTTCGAGAGAAACCGTGTAGAGATGATGGAGCTGATGAATGACCCAGATGGTGGTGGGAGGAGAGTGGAGAACATTTTGTGTGCGCTTGTGCGATAAAAAATGTAATTATGTCAACTGGTGAATGAACAAGAGGTCAAACAGTGACAAGTGACGTCGCAGATAACGAGTGTGTGTGTGTGTGTGGTCGACTGACTCATTTTGAGTCACCGTTGTCGATCTTTTTCCTAATGTTCATCCGATTGGACAGCCGTAAGAGAGCAACCAAAACCGGCGCACGACAATGCATGGTTAATGGCTGTACAAACTGAAACTGAGTATTTGGAGTTGATCAGTGCTCGTGTACAACTTCTTGACGAGTGGGCCACCTGGGATTTTCATTGAGGGTGGTTCTGTTGAGGTATTCTCTGCAAGTAAACCTCATCATATACAGAGCAAATGAAACATCTAATGAGAAGCTGCGAAGCACGGTCCCGTTGTTTCGACCTGATTGGGGATGCTTCAACCGGGTCGCAAACCTGGAGTCTGGCACTGATATCAGCGAAGTGTGATGCCTGCATTAAGCTCGCAAATGATGGGTTATGCAACATCCTAAACGAGCAAAATAACAAACGGTCTGATCAGCCGGTCCAGAGGTTGGTACGCTTGCATTCTTCCTATGAGGTCCCGCGTTTGATGCTCAGTTGAATCGAAGGATTGGCACTGCACTGTTAAGACTGACCCAGGCCGAAGCAGCTGCCTAGTTCTCTGTAGATTGTCAGTTCACAATTCATTTGCTCTGTTCACGATGAAAGTCTTATAATCAAATCAAATCCTATAGCACTTAAGTTTAACATAAACCCATAAATAGTGATATGGGCTA